AAGTGAGAAAAGTTAAGTCTGTAATGGATCATACCACTTACGTATCGTTGAATCCTTTTAACGGCTAAGAAATGAGCATCAGTAGGTGCTTGGAGAAACTGAGTAACAGAATTTACTAAAATTGAAAGATCAGGTCAGGTTATGTTTAAGTATTGTAATTCACCTACGAGAGACCAATAATGAATAACATTATGGAACGGATGTCCTTGTGTATTGTGAAGCTGAGAGCTAGCCAGCCATGGAGTCGCAACACGTTTTGATGAGAGCATTTGAGCCCGATCAAGAATGTCTCTTGCATACTTAGCTTAACCAAGAAATAAACCATAGTTGGCTTGAGTAACTTCTAATCCTAGAAAATGACTCAAATGACCTAAATCGTTAATTTAAAATTCCTTTTTTGTTCATTGAATGAATGAAGAAAGTAAAGTTAATTTAAAATTCCAAGTGACAATAATGTCATTAACATAGACTAACATATAGAGAAGAGTGGTGCCACGTGCATAAACAAAAAGTGGGGTATCAACTAGACTATAGTGAAAACAAAGAGTAGCACGATATGCACTAAACCTTGTAAACCAAGCACATGGAGCCTTCTTATGGCCGTATAAAGCTTTATGTAGACAACAAACGTTATTTGTAAATTACAGATCAATGTAACCATGGGGATGCTCCATAAAGACCGGTTGATCCAAGTGCCCATTTAAGAAAACATTTTTAACATCAAGTTCATGAAGATTCCAATTTCTTTGAATGACTAAAGCAACAATGGTCCTGATAGTAGCATCTTTAACCACACGGCTAAAGGTATGCGTGAAATCAAAGCCAGGTGGCTGAGAAAAACTTTGAGCAACCAAACATGTTTAAGATGATCAATCGTGCCATCGGATAAGTACTTTGTACGATAGACCAATTTAGAGCCTACAATGTTTACACAAGTAGGACGAAGAATAAGGGACCAAGTATGATTTGACTTTAGAGCTCATAATTTTTCATCAATAGCTTGGAACCTTGTTCCCGGTCCTACTGGTGTACAAATATGACCCAAAGATATTGAACCCAACACCAAGAGATGTACAAATATGACATGTTCCAATTGGTTGTGATGGTTCAGATGCCTATGAAGAGTTTGGTTGCGTGTGATTATCGACATCATTATGTAAAGGATCTTTAAATATAGAAACATATAATAAAGTTGGATCAGTAGAGCCATTTGTGCCAGTTGCAAATGGAAAAAGGTTCTCATTAAATTAAGCATGGCGAGAAATATTAATACGACCCATATGTTTATCCAAGCAAAGAAAACCTTTGTGATTAGAATTATAACCCAAGAAAACAGAAGGTATAGTGTGTGGTGAGAACTTGTTTGGCATAGTAGCCTATAAACATAGATACATATGAAAACCAAAAGGATGAAAAAGCAAGTAATCAATTTGGCGACTTGCCTCCTAGAAGTGTAGAAGGTAATCAATTTATAGTAAAAACAGCAACTTCAAACACCTCAATCCAATAAGTAAGTGGAACCAAATCATGGAAAACCAATGCTAAGGTAGTTTCTGTTAGGTGTCGATGCTTGCGCTCAGATCTGCCATCTTAAGCAGCAGTGTAAGGACAAGACATTTTATGATGAATGCCACACTTCAAGAAATGATCTTGTAGTGTTTTAAAGGTAAACCCAGTCCCACCATCTGATTGAAATACTTAAATTTTAAATGAGAATTGAGTTTCTACATAATCTTGAAACTTGATGAATATGTCAAAATATTCTGACTTTTGGTGCATAGGATAAAGCCATGTGAAATGCAAATAATCGTCAACAAAAATTGCACAATAACGAAAACGATTATTAGAGGGAATAGGTGCAGCACCCCATAATTCACAATCTACTAAATCAAGAACATTAAGTGCACATTTATCACTATTACTAAAGGTCATCCGTTTTCTTTTTGCCAACCGAATAGACTAACATACAACAGATTTAGGAAAATTATAAGTAATAGACTCGAGACCTAGTTTATTAAGAAAACTGACAATATCATAGCAAACATGAACCAAACGAGCATGCCAAAGTTGAACGGAATCAAGAAGTCGTCGAATCTTAAGATCATTGAGAAAACCCGAATCACTTCATTCCAGAATATAGAGACCAAACTCACGTCGTCCTCTTCCTACGATCATCCATATGTTCTTGTGTTGAATATAAAACGAAATATCATCAAACGAAACAGTGACAAGCAAGTTCCGGGTTAGTATTCAAATTGAAAGAAGATTTTTCGTAATTTGAGGCACAACTGACACTTCCAGTAACGATAAATCACGAGTAATAGCATGCGACCCAATGTGTGAAATTTATAATCGATGACCATCAACAACAAAAACTTGATTATTACCATTATAGGGAGTAGCCGAATCAAGTTGAGAAGTAGTGTATGTCATATAATAGGAAGCGTCAGAGTCCATATACCAATCAGAAATCTCGTTCGGTTGAATGTTCATAGTACCAAATGTTGATGCCAAATTATCTTGAGAGGACTAAGCACCAGAACGTGCATAAAAGATCTGGACAATCAACAACATAGTGACCATCAATTCGACAGATTTGACAACGGGGAACATAGGTCTCATCATTGAGTTGGATTTCCCTTGTCTTGTAATGGAGAGAATAGGCCTTTTTCTAAGGCAGTCCAGACAACAACGACAATTTTACCTCCTAGGGTTTCGGCCATGGATTCCTCAGTCAAAGTAGAGAGAAGCAGAATTTGCAGACGACAATCCTGAGCAAGCCAGTCCTTATTTTCTTTTTCTATAGCAACATCTGTACATGAAGATGGTAGAATTGACACAGAACCATCTAGACAACCAAATAAGTCTTGAGAGGTGAGAAGTGTCTTCACCTGATTGCGCCATAAGAGATAATTGGCAGAAGTGAGCTTAATGGTGATCATATGAATAAGTGTGGCATAGATAAGACAGGAACCTGATTCAACCATGATGAAAGAATGTACCAACAGAAACGTGGTAGAAGGGGAAAGAGAAAATGGTAAATAAGGAACACGTATTAGGGTTGGGAAAAAATTAAAAAATATACGTGAGGGGAATTAACCTTCTGATACCATGTGATAATTGTAGAATATCACCACTTGACTTAGGTGTTGATTGAAAATTTCCATATAAATAGAGATATAATTAGCGTACAACAAATACATGGGCCTACAGAAAATATACATGGGCTAAACTAATATACAAATACAATTAAAAGACTACGGGCTAACAATTTAGATGTGTTTCGGTTTTCATTATGTTGAAGCTTCTTGATATTGATTCAACGAAGTAAGAAGAGATAAAAAGGTGCATTAGAAACTTAATTATTGATACCATAAAATAATATATTAGAAGTTGGATGTTGATCGCTATGAAATATAATCGAAAAACATAAGTCTAACAGTTGAAACGGAATGATGAACCTCTGAACTTGAAATTTTTGAACTATCTAATCACAGAACCACTGTAGCTAGGGTTGGATGGTAAAGGGGCCGGTTTCTAAGGACCACCACCAAGAAACAATGCTTGAATGCAAGTGATGTTCAACTAAGTTGCACGGAATCGAATACGGAAATGGGAAATAGATACATAATAGAAACCGGAAATGACAAAACTAAAAAAATCATGATACAGATATGGCAGAGATACGATAATATATATATATATATATATATATATATATATATATATATATATATATATATATATAAAAGAAATTCCAAAATAGATAAATATTGATGTAAAGTGTAAACTCCTAATATATTAAATCTTCCAATGCTAAACCTCCAATATAAAACATCGAGTATAAAACATCCTTGTTATATCTTGATCCATTTGGTCCCTAATTTCAACACCTAAAGCTCTTCCAATAGGTGTTGAAATACATTTTATTTTCTTAAATCCAACACATGCTTCACATGGCCACTCGACTTATTTCACTTGTCACTCGGCTTTCTTCTCTTTATACACATCTTCTAATAGTTTCATCTTATGTTTATCGGTTGTTGCTTTCTTGCAAATAGAAATCCCACTACCTATATTGAAAATAGAAATCCAAGGATCAGAAAATCATAATCCAAAGACTGCAAAGATTACCTTTTATACAAAGCAAATTTGCTCTGACTCTAGAACATGATTCTTGTCGTGGTTCACCGCAAAGGTAACACTCAAATTTCCAATATCCTCCTGCCTCAACAAGTTTTTCCAATTTAGTCATATAGTCTCATATTGGAGGTTGGTCTATTGATTTAGTTAATGGTGATAATTGTGTTTCTTGTTCTTGAAAAGCCATAATCAATAGATGAATGATGATGTGTGATGGTGAATGGTGAATTGCTGATTAATGACGGCTGGGATATAGAAACGTTTTTGGAGTTAAAAAGTTGATGGATTTAGGAATTAGGAGATATGTATAGCCCATTAGCCATTTTTGGAGTTAAAAGCCCATTGAAAACCTATAAGAAAATAGAAACGTTAACAAAACGTTTTCTGAATTCCCGATACTTCAACGAAACATTTCTTTGACGTATCCATGGTGTATCCATTTCCAACACATTTGTGAAACGGGAACGTGACCCTCCATGGAGTTTCTGTGCATCATAGATGTTGAACCATCTGCTGCGATGACCAGCAATTAAGACGATATTCTAACAAGAGATCTCATCCAGAAAACTAATTCGAATGTGAAAAAATTTCACAATTCAATAAAAACAAAAAGATATAACTCTATAAGGGAACAAGCCGAAAAAAATAAATAAATAAATAAATAAAAGCAGTCATCTCAACCTTGGTAAAACGTATTGAGCATTTATAACTTTCCCTTGAGCTGTAGTATTTGAAATTAGTATCTATGAGTTATTCCAAAGCGAAGTCCAGATTATTACACAAACCCATTCATTGACAAAATATTTCCCTGATTATGGAACTATGAAGCTCTTCTTGTTAAATAAACTCATAAATGTTCATGATGCCTGAGCAAGGCCTTTTAGAAGGGAGACTACATCATCCGATGTTGGGAGTATGTAGCGGGCCTTTGTACGTGTTTTTCCAACCGCACATGAGAAATAGTTGTCCCTTTCTAGATCAAGTAAATTCCATGTTAACTTATTAAGGAATGGTGATGATTGTCTGTTACCATTCTCAACAACATTGTTAATGTCACTGTCATTATTATTGTTTTGCTTATTTTCCAAATCTGGTTCACGAGTATGTTTTTGAGACCCACTTCTCCCAAACATCCTGGAGCCAAAAGGATTTGTTGTATCACTTAGAATCAGTCTTGGAATGCTAATGTCCCTTGAGGGAAACTCAGGCTCAAATACTGTGTAAATATCTTCGTCCTGTAAAGGTTATCAAGTTTAAAACGCTTTTTTTTCCTGTGTGAGAAACTCTATATATACAGGGTTTTTTTATATAATATATACTTTAAAAAGATTAAAACTATATAATACATGTCGCCAAACACAATGTCACACAAAGTAGAAACTAGTTAAGATGCTGGAGCATATACCTTCCCTAGAGAATGGCCAATGCATAAGACATAATTTATTGGCGAGGAAATAGATTTGCAATTATTAATCTCTCCTAAAATGCGACCAATGGTAAGACCCTGTTTGTATGAAGAAATATTCATTTGAGAAACATCGATAAGAATATATGTTTATGATAGCATCCATGAGAACCAGCATATTTAAATAACATTGTTGCTGAAAAAGAGAGAAACAAGCACCTTTGTAACACCGAAGGGTCGGACCTCGACAGTACAGTCACCATGCACAACATCCACTGACGCATTAGATATCGAACCTGTCCAGAGATATTGCAACATGTCTCTGGCTTGAAGCCTCCCAAATTCCAAATCTGCATTAACAAACAATTAACTACATGATACTTATTGCAAGGATCATTGATCAGGATCATTAATCTCACACGCAATAATTATAAAAGTAGGAATAAAAAACATTAAGATAATATATTTATGGGTTTATGTCATTTTTGGATACTTAGCATTTTGTTTTATGTCCATAGCTTATGCTTACTTGATGGTTTAACTTATTTTAAGTTTTAATAGCCCATTGGACTTTTGGGTTTGTGGATTTTTGGCTTTATGCTCATTTACTTACCTATCTTTTGGTAGCTTAACTTTGGGTTCTGTATTTAGTTAGGTTAGTAAATTAACATAATTTTAGAAGTTAGGTGAGAAAATGAACACATAACCAAAAATTAAGCGGTCAAACCAAGAGTTAGGTGACTAAATGAATACAAAATCAAAAGTTCGGTGAACTTTTAAATCTTAAAATAAGTTTAGTGACCAAATGAGCACAAAATCAAAAGTTAAGTAACTAAAAATAACTTATACCTATATATTTATCTATTCAATTAACCTAGGAAGATGCATGGATTGGTGGTGATAAATACCCTATATTTTTCCCTTTGGATATTAGAAAACGGCACTTACTACCAATTGTCACTGTGTAATTTCCCTATTCTTCATGAATTCTTGTTCATCTAGTTTTACAGCAAGTTGTTACTTATTATATGCTTTTGATGATCCATTGTTGTATTTGTGTCATGTCTACTTGTTGTTTATATATGGTTGTTGTACTCTTATTTCGGTTTCATGAATGGTTTGTTTTTTCTTCAAGATATTTTACGTTAAAAAACATATAAAAATATAGTTGAGGGGTAATGAGACATTATAGTCAAAATTATGTACATTGGAAGCATACCTGCATACTTGTAGTTCCAAATTATTGATGTCTCACGAATCTCGATATAGGATTGTGGAGTTCTTTCCGTGAAATACGCGAAAACATGCTGTGAAAAGTTTATGGAGTTCAAAGATGAAAATACAAAGACACCAAATGGACAATGTAAACCTAGAATTAAATATGCTACGTACCTTTATACTATCAACCCAGTCCATGTTTAAATGTTCAGGCATCGTCATCATCCAGTCACCTTTAGTGGATCGCAAAAACATTCCGTTCTCAGCTGCCAACCACATATTGTACTCACCAAAATTTTAAGAAAATCAGTACAAGATTGTTAAACTAATAATCATAAAATCAAAACAGTAGTGTTATAATTTAGAGGGTTCTCATTAATATTATTGTAATTGGAAATATTATTAATGATGTAAACATTCATGATGTGAATTTGAAAGACCGAAGCACTCGAATATTGATGTGTTGTTTTATTATATATTTGAAACTATCATGATTGGATATTGTTTTCTTAGATTATTGGTAAGGTATTCGATCCCAAAAAGATATACAAATAATGTCATACCTCGTCCAATATAGCCCTGCCACTTCCACTAAGAAGAATGATAGTTGTTTTTGGATCACTACAAAGCCTATTAAGAGTTTCTTTCAAATCTGGGTGTAATTTAAGATCCATTTCTCTTATCTGATTGCCTTGACATCCATTAGGTGTATCAACTCGATCGGTCAAAGTAGCATTGAATCCCTGTAGTTTTTTTGGTGTCGAAATGTCAATATATCAAACTAGAAGTTGATGCAAATTCTACTCCTATACATTCTAAATGAAAATGCCACAATCAGACTGTTAGATGATTGTTTAGACTTGCCAATATTAGTAGTCGATTACTTGACTTGACATATCGCTCAATAGCCTCTTCAACTGGGAGCGGTGGTGGAAGTTGTCTAATTCTCAACTGTGCTTCAACCACAGTATCGTTCAGTGCACTAAATAACATTAAAAGAATTTTTAACCTTTAAAGCTCAAATCCAATCAAAAGCATGTTAGTTTCACAATCTGATTCAAATGACGATTTTATATGAGTGTTTTTCATTTCTTCACCTAATTATTGTTATAAGCCCAAACTTACCTTAATAAGGTTTCGGCCCATACTTGAGCAGTGTAGTTTGTGACATGTAAGAAGTTATGTAGATAACGTTTCTCTCTTTCTTCAGTTGACATATTCAAAGCATAGTATATGGAAGCTGCAACTTCGGGTATATTCCAAGGATTAACAAGTATGGCTCCTGCACCCAGCGACTGTGCAGCACCAGCAAACTATAGGTGTACCAGAAGAATGGAGATTTAGATATAAACAGAAGCTTATGATGATAAATCTTGAATTTTATTTTTATAAAAAGATTAGTAATAATTACTTCACTTAAAATGAGCACTCCTCTTTTGGCATCTTGGCATGCAAGAAACTCGTAACTTATAAGATTCATGCCTTCCCGTAGAGGTGTGATAAGTGCAATATCTGGCAGAGTGAAACATATTATCAGTGATGGCTGCTTTGATGTATTCATTTGAATGTTTTATGATTTTCCATTTAATTAAGAATGAACATCCAAATAAGGACACAATAGTTCTTTCTCAAACCAAAATTGCATCATAGATTCGGTATGGTAAAACCTTAGCGTGTTTAAGACACACAATACCTCGTACATCCCCCTTCCCATTAAAATTTCAGCAATCTTCATTTTTGGAAAGGTGGGAAGTTAAAAGCACCTATGTAACCGGTGAACCATTTACATATGGAGATTTGTGCGCACAAATTTTTATTTATTTTTTGTTCTTACTAAGCATATTTCTCGTAGTTTATATATATTCATATCTAAATGCAACAGGGGAACAATAGGGAAATATAGGGTTTGTGGTGGAGATCTGGATACCAACTTGGATCGTGATATTACTTTCCGAACTAATATTTCTACCCTATGCTTTGATTACAAGAAATTCAGCTTAGGATAATACAAGTGGACACTTACAATTCTAGGCACTGAAATCGTAAGCCAATATGTTAGAGGATTCCATGAAACTATGATGGAAACCGAGAGCTTAAGATCATAATCCCTTTTTGAAGAGGAAGAATTGTTTATATATAAACGAGATTAAGGTTTTCATTAGGGTTGGACCGTTATTAGTTGTTTTGGAAGCAAGTAATGTTAATCCAGATTTTATGATGATTTAGGGTTACCAAAACTAACGAGTTTTGTTAGTTTCACCATAATCACATTCAAGAAATTGAATTTTCCACTATGTTCCCATATGTAAAATTCGGTGAGGTTTTGGGACCCCAGCCAGGGGCTCTGCCCCTTGGACCCCGCTAAGGGCGCTGCCCGTTTGGAAACCCCGGACCCAGGAGTGCTACCCCCAGACCCCCGATTAGTTGTCGAACCTGCTTCTAATTCGATCTTATACATGTATGCACTCCACACAACCCCCGTACATATATTAGAGTAAAAATTATGAAGCCCCTTAGCTCATATGTTGGTTCCAATTACTTATGACATGGTGACACTAAAATCACCAACAGGAACCATTTACTAGAACCCCAGAAGAAGTCTCGTTAATATTTCTTGTCGGCTGACGCATAACAAAACACAAATCTTCTATAAACTGTGAGAAGTCAGAGAGGGGATAAGTACCAGTGACAGCATACAGTGCACATAAAGCATGAAAATCAATAGATCGATCCTGTCGATATCATGTGATAGTCTTTAATACTGAGACTAATATCTCTTATTTTCCATCAACACTTGTAAGGAATGTACACATATCTGATTCATTGATTATTTCGCCATATTTATATATATATATATATATATATATATATATATATATATATATATATATATATATATATATATATATATATATATATATATATATATATATATATTCAAATAAAAACTTTAAATATAATGAGACCATGAAAACACTATTTTTATATTATTATTATTTTTCAATAAATTTTGTATATACAACTTTATATTATTATTTAGAAATAAATATATAAATAATCATACATTATTATTCATATGAGATATTACTATAACACTATATATATTCAAACGTATAGCATAATAATAACATAAAAATAAATATATGAATAATCACATCTTAAGATTCACATGAGAATTTAATATAATGTTACACCAAGAAAATTCATAAAAGAATAATAAAATAAAAATAGTTTTATCACGTTCTCATTCTGTTTAGTGTTTTTATTTAAATTATATATATATATATATGTTTATTTACCAGCTGACCTCATTATTAACTAATAAAGTAGAAGACTAACTAGATAATGAATAGGAACGGTTGTTAATGTCCCAAATCTACCATTTATCCTTCCCACAATTTCATGAACCTGACTTGTGAGTTTTTGGTCTGCAAATGAACATATGGGAATGAACGATGCATTAGCATGAAACAATATCATGACCATAGTGAGAAGTAAATGTAGTGAATGGCACATAGAAAGTCTTTATAATCTGGAACAAAATAGAACAATTGAATACATTGATTGTATTTATTTACCATATAAAATGACCTTTTTATAGTTTAACTAGGCAAATGTCCGCGTGTTGTGCAGAAACATGTATATATGAAGTCTTTAAAAATATATGTTTTCTTTTAATATAACAATAACACTGTTGTCAAATTTGTCTAATAAATGGATATAATATATTCATTATTTGTATACTAAATTGATTATATATATATATATATATATATATATATATATATATATATATATATATATATATATATATATATATATATATATATATATATAAACACTACATATGAGGTATATAATTACATATCAACTATAAACTCGACTTATTGACAATCACTAATTTCAATGATTGTAATTCTACAACACAAAAATAAAATCAATGCATACTTAATGAAATCAAATGTATTATATATTGTTTTACTACATTATATATATATATATATATATATATATATATATATATATATATATATATACATTAAGTAAATTGATTTTTTTGTAAATCAATAAAAATTAAAGATAAAGTACATTGACAGACGATACAAATTGATAAAGTTATCAAGAAAATTAGTTATAATGGTTAATTTGTAGAAAGTTGAAGAGTTTTTAGTATTAAAATAGATTAATGTTATGGTTAATTAGTAGGAAGTTGAAGTGTTAGGAGTTTTAAATGATTATAATTCAAGATAAATGACTTATCTTGAATCATATTAATTTGGATGACCTTTATTATATATATATATATATATATATATATATATATATATATATATATATATATATGTGTGTGTGTGTGTGTGTGTGTGTGTCTAAGTGCGTGTGTGCATGTGTAGACGACGATATCATGGAAACATACATTCAGAAATATCAGTTCTTGGTGGTATTGCAATCTGCAGCAAAACAACTTTATCACGCCAAACTGGATTTTCCTCAAGGAATTTCTCAAATGCTAGTATTTTTTGGGGAATACCTTTGATCATATCTAAATCATCGAGACCTAACAACACCTGTGAAAACAATGCAACATAATTCAAAAGAGATGTATTTGTTAGAATTGATTACTTTTTTGAACAACAAATCAAACCTACTCCTATACTACTCCTAATTCCATTTATGTTCCAGAGGGGACTTGAACTCTCGACCTCAAGGAGTGGCGAATACATAGATACCGTTGTTGTGTAGAAGCCATTTAGTTAAAATTGATTACTTGATTGACATTTGATGATGAACATTTACTTAGGAGCTAATTTTAAATATCATAGGAAATTCTGTAGTGATATTAGCTTTAGATGAAAAAACGATGATGATCCTTGTGGGTTAAACTAATTTATGTATTTGGTACCAATTATTTTTAAATCTCATCAACTGTATAATTTTTTATTTTTAATTTTTTTATTTTGATCATTGTAATTGGTCAACTTAAAAGGGCTATATTACAAATACTCCTATAGTATACTTTTTATACATTTATAATTTGTTTATTTATTTTTATTAGGACCCAATTATCTTTCTTCATCTCAAGTCCACCACTTTCCTTTCCAGTGGACATCCCACATATACTTTTACAATACCATCATAACCTCTGCAACCACCACAAAGGCAAGTACCAATAGGAACCCGAAAAAACTGTAAATTTGGTCCTTATGGTTTGTAAAAAACTTTGGATGGTATCCAAAATCTTTTCGAATTGCATGGATGGTCCAAAATCAGAAATTTTCCATGGATTTGGTCCTCTCAAACTCTATCATCTCTGAATTTGGTCCACATATAACCTAAAATGACTGATATACCCTTTCAATGATTCTTTTTTAATTTCATTTCCTTTTCCTTTTTGTATATTTATGTTAATTACTTCTCTCTCTCTCTCTCCCTCTCTCTCTCCCTCTCAAACACACACACACAAATGTCACCTTCTTCTAAAGGATTCCATGGAAGAGTTCCATTTTTATTACCGACATCTTCTTCAACGTCGATCTACAATAAAGACTCATCATCACAATGGAGATATTCTGATGATGAGTTGTATGAGTATGAGTAGTTCATGTGAAAATACTACCTCGTCGACTCAATTCTCTTCTGGAATTGGTACTCCGATAACCTTCTTAGTGATTCCTTACAAAGGGTGTCATATTGTTTTGCAATAAGGCTAAAATCAAGACTCACCCAACTTCACTGACACTAGCATCAACAAAACTCATCAGGAGGGAATTTAGGTTTGAACATTAGTGTGGATGAATGGAGGTAATTAAGTAATCAACCAATTCCGTTTTCCATAACCTAAATTAGAACCAATAGCATCACTACTTCTTCTTTATCCATTCAACCGATATAAATTCTTTAAAATCTCGTATTCTCATATAGACATGACATCTTTGTTGAATCCACCTTCTAGCATTACATAAGCCAATAAAAATTTGTACATGCATCCATGTTTGTTCTTGATTGTACATAAAATCCCCAAACTAGATGTCAGAATTGCTAGGGTCGACGGTGATAAGAAGGTCGTCGGACCTGTTCTACGTAGAGATGCATCTTTGATAAGGAGGTCGTCTGATTTATCGCTAGAGGCAGAAGAAGAAGCATGTAGAGGAAGAAGATGCATGTAGAGAAAGAAGATGAACTTAGAGAACCCATATAAAGTTCATGCTCATTAATCTGAAGCTATGGTCGACAATAGATCGGTAGGAAGGATAGTATAGGCAGCAATGCAGACGGTGGGGGTAGGCCGCAACAAAAGATGAAGATGACCGTGGTGGATATGGAGGGGTGTGGTGGTGAATAAGTGAAATTGGGATGGGGTGGTTACCTGGTTGGTGTCGATTGGGGGGAGAAAGAGAGAGAGAGAGAGAGAGAGAGAGAGAGAGAGAGAGAGAGAGAGAGAGTTAGGGGTAGTGGTTTTTATAAGAGGGTGATAATTTATTTTTATTTTTTTATTATTTAAATACTAAAACAAATAAAAATGTAAAATAGAAATAATAAGTGCAAAATTGTCATTTTAAC